AATTTTGTCATATAAGTCCATTGTAATGTAGGTAAACAAAATCTAGCTAGGATTTAGAATAAATGAACGAAGTCTCGCCAAGTTTCGTTTAGTGTATTACGCACTGTATATACAGGTAGATGGTTGACACTAAGATCGTTCATTACTTTCTCAACTACATTCGCGAGTAATATTGTACGTTTTTATAGCGGTTTTCGTTTAGACCGAGTCTAAAGCTAGCTGATTCTATGTTGGAACTCTCGCTATGTGCTCTTGCTCTGTTACTAAGTCAATCTTAATAAGTTTTGAGTTTTTAGTTGTTTACCAGTAGTACTCTTATGTGACTATTTGTACTAATATCTGATGCTTGTTTCGCTGTACGAATCTCTCTGTATTACGTATACATAAACGCTAGCTGTGCGACGATATCAGCACCTATATAACGTTGTTTACAGTTCGTCGCCTTTAAAAACTATCTTCTTCTATGATCGAAGTTCACTGTTCATTATGCGGATTACTATAAGCACAGAATGTAATAGTGTGACTTCTATAAATAGCTACACTTGCCTAAGTAGGTTTTAATATATCGTATCTCTCTAGTCTATCTGCTTGGTACTAATACTTAATTTAATTTAGGTTGCTCACTATAAGCGTTAAGTTCGAATTTATACTTGAATCACTGCTCAAATACAAAAAAAAAATAGGTAATTCTGTGAATAATAATTTATATGCGGGTGTGTGTTGGTGTCGGTTATGTGAAGAGACGAGGGTGGCTCCGGCGGCGGCGGCGACCTTGCAGCGGTAGCGCCAAGGTCCCGGCGGCCGGCCGTCGACCCCGCGGCCACGCTATCGACCGCCCGCCGCCCGCCGCCGCCGGCCGCGTCGCGCGTCTCGCTCGCGATGATGTTCCACGAATCACTGCCTTGAATCCCGTCATCGTTCCATTTCTCCACGAACACCTATGCTTCTATCTGTATTTTTACTAATACGCAATTTTTACGCAACTTATGCAGCAATCTATAAAGCTTACCAAATATATATATATATATATATATATGTTTAAAGCGGCCGGTACCGTGAATAGTGATGACGGTCGTTTGTTTCAGTTGTTAAGCGCAGGCCACGCTGATATGTGAGCGAACCTAACTTCACTTAGTAGAGCGCATGTAGTTACGAGCGCAAGATCTTTTCGTGCTTCACTCGCACTGCTAACTATACAACTAAGCCTAGAGAGCTAGCCGTATGACTAGTTCATAACCCGACAGTGTCCGCCAATCCTTAACGGATTAGGTATATCTCCATGTAGTCCCTTTTTAAACCATCATCATCGGTCGGGAGTCCGTCCTCATATTCTAGAACCAAAATGGTCACGCACAGTGCGGTTTCTGAGAAGCTTCCTCCAGCGAACGCTCACCTTGTAGAATGATCTTCCTGCCGAGGTTTTCTCTAGAAACTACAGCATGGAGGTCTTCAAAAAGGGCGTAATGAGATTTCTTAAGGGTCCACAACACGCGTGTCACATCTCTGATGTTATAAGCGTCCATAAGCTACGGTAACCCCTGTACCATCAGACGGGTCGTATGCTTATTTGTCATCATAGTAATATAAAAAAAAAATCGTAGTGAATTCGCCATGGTAGGCCAAGTAGACTTGGTCTGTCGTTTCATCTTCCACAGGTATTTCGCCGTCGTGTTATATATCATTAGTATAGAGTATAGACCGAAACATAATTTCATTTTTCGCCTAAAAAAAAATTTTATATATTTATACATTTATCTTTTATTCTCAGTGCAAATCCAAATAGTATGCCTATACATAAAGCCAGTGTTTTCAAACATTTTCATAACGCGACCCCTTAGTATGTTAAAATATTCTGCGACCTACCCTACCTACCGCGGTTCCTAACCTGTATATATTTTGTTGAATTACAAATATCAAATCCGTATATTTTATTTATTTTCATAGGTATTGGTTAAATACAATAAATAAATAATACATAATAAAGTACCTAAAACAGACATAGATTACGTTGCGAAATCGTTATTTTTTTACGGCTTCACGATTTTCCGCGGCCCACCCGTAAAGGTTTGGGGGGCCCCTAGAGAGTCGCGACCCACATTTTGAAAAACACGGCACTGAGCTAAACAAGGATAGATTCTTCTTCGCTTCTGGATAGCTTCGCTGTCTGTATGGTTCGCTCTTTAAGCGGCCGATAGATCGGCGCTGGTAAGGCTCAGAGCGCGCGGCGGCGGCGGCGGTCGCAGCGCCCGCCCACGTTTAGCCAGTGTTTGGTTTGACTGTACCTCATCCATACGTATCTATAGTAATTATTAATATAACACGATGCATACGTAATTGTTTATACCCTATTAGTGATTGTTGACTTGTACTATCGGGATCTTATTATCTATCGGATATTGTACTATCGGACACACTGACGGGGCACCAGTGTGGGGTGACAGGTGAGGATGAAGCAGGCCAGTTGGCCCATCGTGACGAATTCAGTAATAATTCAATCACGATGGTTTCATCAAATCGTGAAGCGATTGACGTATAGGATATGTTACTAGCAATAGCGTTGCTAATCAAGCAAGAGGCCGCCTGAAAATCAGCGCTATATAGATACATCTCGCTAGAGGTGTGCATATATAGCAACAGCTGAGGCGGCTCCAGCAACCAGCAAAATGAATTTTTTTTTCTCTTTTATTTTTGTTTTTTTTTACCTGTTATTATTATTGTTGGTAATTTATAAATAATAAAATATTACTAACAATCCTTTCTCCTCCCTGTTGACTCATTCACACTACAGGAGGGAGATGATCTGCAATATACCCTATCAAGTCGACCTTCACGCGGTTCACCCTGGAAACCGTAGTGGTTAACTTTATTATTTACTAGTCTTTCGTGTTGCATATCTTATGTTTTATAAGAGGAGATGTTTTAGAAGAGATGTTTTAAAGTTAAAATTTTATTGTTGAATTCGTCAGGATGGGCCAACCGACCTGCTTCCATCTTCACCTATCATCCTTAACAGGTATATACCGATAGCGCAGGCAGTCACTATTCCATCACCATTTATTTCTTCTCTATTATAAGTTTAACACGATTCAGCACTTTTTGAAGCATCCTCTCAAAATTTTCGATGAACACTGATATTAATTTTTATATAAACTCCTATATTATACGATAGACGAGACACACAACTTGATATTATTCACCGCGTGGTCCCGGTATAGAATAAGCCAGCCCCCCTTCCTTTCCCGTGGTGGTGGGTGTCGTAAGAATCGACTAAGATCACTTAATGGTCGAGGAATAAAAAGCAACGTCCCTCTCTAAACATCACTAAAGTCTAACTACGGTTTCCAAGTCGCCTGCCAAGCGTGGCTACTACTTGCAAAACCCCCCCAATAGAGGTAGACGTTTGTTCAGCAATGGACAATTAAGGACTGATATGATATGATGAATTTTATACTAATATTTATAGGCAACAATCGTCACTATAGATTACAAGCAGGCTGTGTCGGACTTAAAGTAGACGAAGTCTACTAATTTGGTTGAACTAGTGCTGGTATCAGCCAATATAGGGTCTCCGAAGACAGCTTCAAAGAATGTATAACAGTGTCTATAGCAGCATTTGGTGCATCCACCTTGGGGCATATGACCTATCTCGATATTTACGTCTATCACGATAATGGCAAATGTCATCCGGAACCCGAACTATATTTTATCTTTCTAGTCTAACGGTTTATACACGTAACGTGGCGCCCATCCGTTAAATGATGATCCGATGACGTCATCCGTGAACAATAGTTATTTGAATAGAGAAAAGGTCCTGAAGTGAGTGTCGGACGCGTGCGAGGAGGCAATCTTTACAATCTTGTAACATATTGCTGTTGAGGCTTTTTAAATAACTATAAATATATTAAACATTTAAATATGCCCTAACAAGAACTTATAAAAGAACTGACGAGACGCTGAGACTTATAGATGAACTGAACAGATCTTCATAAATTGTAGCTAAGAACCATCTTGATAACGTCAGCCTTCAAACAAACAGCCGCATCATAATCGGCCCATTCGTTCAGGGACTACGATCCAACACACACATGTCAAACTTATAGCAACCCTCTTCTTGGGTCGGTGGTTAAAAAAAATCTTGAAATATTTTTTTGAGAAATTTTCTTCCACAACTTCCTGTAAAGTCTCACGAAAATCGAGCTCGAGCTACGAGATTTATGATGCACTGGTGTACAGGATGGGCGACGGTTAGATAACGGACCTTTATATTATGCATCTTATTTCGAATCGAAATTTTCTGGGTAAGATAGATTTACAATTTAGATTACAAAATTTAGATACAATACAAACATACACAGTAAAAGAGATAAAAGAATGAAAAACAAAGAAAAGCAACAACAAAAAAAAAAAAAAACAATACGCAAAATATATAAAACAATTTGCTTTTTTCATGTGTGTGCCATAGTAACACAAAATGGTCACAACTTAATTTATTGCTTTGCTCTCAAAAGAGACTGATATTCTGTTGTAGCCAAGAGTCAGTCGCGAAATTCCTTATTAAAAATAATAAAAAGAAATATGAATAAAATACATTGTGTGTGTCCATTACATTCGCCTCCATTTGATATTATATTCTAAATAAATAAATAACAGATACCATTTGATGAGGAGTAGTCAGAGGTCACATTCAGGTATTCAGGCAATAAATATTTCCTCTACGTGCCTATTAGGTATGCCAATTTTTTGTTTATTAATAAAAAAAAAAATAAGTTCTCTTTTAAATATATGTTTAGTTTAAGTAAGCACGTTTCAATTTAGGTGTAGCCGTCACTTGCGCGTAACTATTAAAAAAAAATCAACTAAAAACATACATTTATTTTTGCGGTTGTTAACCTGTTACACAGTCATTGAATGCTGTCTCCACTCCTAGTACGATTACGCCGTAACGACAAACGAAACGCCAGAAGTGATAGTGCATTACCGTGTGGCGTGTTGTCACACAGGGCCAGGAGCGGAGGCGACAGCAGAGCAGGCCGGAAAGACAGCCCCGCGACACGGCAGGCGGCGGCCGACAGCGCGGCGAGTGCGCGGGAGGCAGCACCGGCAACAAGACGGACAGCGCGCGGCAGCCGGGGCCCGCGCCGCGCGCCTCGGGGAGGACGGCCGTCCCCCCGCAAAGGCGACGCTGGGTCCCGCCCTCCTCTCTGCGCCATCACGAGGTGCCCGACGGAGATGCCAAACACGACGTCATATTCCGCAAGGTGAGCCGCCGTTCCGCCGTCCAGCCGTCCAGACCACCCCGGTGCCTGTCGCCTGACGCCCCGTTCTCTCCGGTTGCAGGTCCGCGGCATCCTCAACAAACTCACTCCGGAGAAGTTCCAGAAGCTGAGCGATGACCTCCTCGGCCTGGAACTCGACTCGGATAAGGTGCTCAAGGGCGTAATCCTTCTCATATTCGAGAAGGCCCTCGACGAGCCGAAATACTCGTCGATGTACGCTCAGCTATGCAAGCGGCTGAGCGAAGAAGCGCCTAATTTCGAGCCGCCCGGGCAGCCTTGCACCTTCAAGTTACTTCTTCTTAACAAATGTCGCACCGAGTTCGAGAACCGAGCGCAGGTAACAACGCACACAAACACACACACACGTACCACTCGCATTGAATATAACCGTGCATTTTTTTCTTCACTAGATCGAGAATCCGTGACTGCCAAACCTTTGTTATTTTATAAAAGCTGAAAGTTTGTAAATGCGTGCTCCCAACAAAGGTACGGGAACAACAGACTTTTATGAAGTTTGAGTCATCGTGGCTTTGGCAGGTATCAGGTAGCAGTATAATGGCAACCCCTTGCCAGACACCCTTAACCCTCCGCCAACCGTGTGTTTTTTTTGCACACCGTCAACCGCATGGACAATATCGTCCCAAATGATAATTTGACCTACTTAAAGGTAGGAAAAAATCTAAAGAAATTCGGGGAATATGTTCTAGATTTTTTTCTGTTTTCATAGTTTTTGACTTGAATACCCCCTTAATTACCCCCTGGTGAAATACAATTTTGTAATCTTTTCAAAAACTGTAATTTCTAAGATTTCACTATCGAATTGAAATCGTTTTTTTCTTACAAAGATATGCATCAGGTCCAAACTTGGATGATATTGATATTGGCGTGGACGATATTGTTCTATACGGTTGGCGGAGGGTTAAACTTCGATAAATTATAACTGTATTTACGTTATAGTATAAAAACTAAATGTTATACATGTTACTTGGACAACTATTCCAATTTGCCCGCAATGGTAACTACGAGTAATAACCGTCGTCTATAAACGTGAACAGCGCCATCTGCTGCGATTCCCGTGACTCTCCCTCAAATGTACAGGCAAAGGTGCCGTTTACAGTATAAATAGAAGGTAGCATACATTGATGGCTATAAATACGATTAAACTATTTCAAATATTATAATATTAATATACCCAAGTCAATGAAATTCCAAAACAATACTTACTCATTTGATTTATTCTTTAACCATTTATCAATATGAAAATTATAATCTATAACTTTCAAACATTGATTTTTAGTCATAAATAACCACATAATAAAATTAAATTAACCCCTAATAACTATCTCACTCGTACCTACTCGGATGTCTTATATCACATACAGACAGAGTCTTTAAAACATGTCAACTATTTGTCAGCTAATTGTCAAATTAGCCGACTCGTTTTTTTTTTATTACTTATACTTACGCACACAGCGTCTTAACGTGTCTAAATTTAATTTATTTAATAAATAAATGAATTGAGCAAAAATTATAAAACAAAAATAGAATAAAAGAATTATAACTGGTATCTTCAATTTTAAGTATAAATATAATTGTAAATATTCATATCTGTTTTTAAAGGATCCGCGCCACATTATAATGTTGCAAGTATCCGAAAAATTTCCTCATGATTTAAGTACAATTCCCGAAATGAGGTAGATTTTTTATAAAAAGAATTGATTTATTTTTAAATATATATTTTTTAAAAAATTAGTACCATTTTTAAATATTTCAAGTATCCGAAAAAAAATCCCCACAATTGAATTAAAATTCCCCAATTTTTTTTTCTCCCAATAAGAATTGAATTATACGGTAATATAATATATAAATAAAATTAAATAAAGCATTAATTCATCCTAATCTAAAGTAATAATTTCTATTCTGATAACGCCTGCCTGTCACGTGCATAATTGTATGGAAAGATGACCTGCTTTTTTTAAGTATTTGTATGCAGACAGTCTATCTATATAATCTAAGTCCTACAGCTTACCTTATATGTTTGTCTGGTCTGGTTGAAGCTTGAGACTGTCGAAACTGTCTGGCTATTAAGGAAACATCTTAGGAATAGGTACTTGGGTACCTATTAGAAGATGTATCTAGTAGAATGTGTTTGGTAATATGTATAAATTACAGTTTTTATACTATAATGTAAATATAGTTACAATTTATTGCAGTTAAGACTGTCTGGCATGGGGTTGCTACTATAGCAAGTGGCTGGCAATAGACGACGCCATCTGTAATATCAATCTGGAGAAAATGTAAGAAAATTACGCTTTATTATTTGAAGAAATTAAATTGGTATTTTACACCTTTGCTACCAGATATTGTCAACGCCACGATGACACAAACTTCATAGCAGCCCGTCGGTCCTACCTTAATTGTGAATATCTGCTGAGAAACTGTTCTAAAATAACGAAGGTCTAGCAGTTCAGCACTGTATGCTTCTATAGATGGTCATAATGTGTGTCGTCAGGCGTTCGCTGCGTTCGAGGACAAGGTGCTGTCTCCCGACGAGGAGGAGAAGCGACATCTTGCCAAATGCAAGATGTTAGGTAATATAAAGTTCATCGGTGAGCTCGGCAAGCTGGAGATCTTGGCCGAGTCGATCCTGCACCGGTGCATCCAGAACCTGCTGGCGCGGCGCGCGGCCGCCGAGCACCACGAGGACCTGGAGTGCCTGGCGCAGCTGGTGCGCACGTGCGGCCGCGTGCTGGACTCGGAGCGCGGCCGCGGCCTCATGGACCAGTACTTCGCGCGCATCGACACGCTGTCCGCGTCCAAGGAGCTAGCGCCGCGCATCCGCTTCATGCTGCGGGACGTGGTGGAGCTGCGGCGCGGCGGCTGGGTGCCGCGCGCGGCCGTGTCGGCCGAGGGCCCCGTGCCCATCCACCAGCTGCGCGGCGACGACGAGCCGCACGCGCGCCGCGACCGCGACCGCGACCAGCGCGACCGCGAGCCGCTGTTCCGCCGCTCGCGCCCGCTCGACGACATGCTGGCCGGCCTCAGCCTGCAGCCGGCCGCCTCCTTCGTCGCGCCCGCCGACAAGCTTTTCGGCAACGGCTTCGGCGCCGCGCGCGACCAGTACCGCCAGCGGTCTGCGCCCGGCTACTTCCCGCGCCAGGCGGCCGGCCTGCACTACGGCAAGCAGCAGGGCTCGGCGCAGGGCAAGGAGGGCGGCGGCGGTGGCGGCGGCGGCGGCGGCGGCCGCGCCACTAAGTCGCGCGTGTACGCGGTGGGCGCGGCGGCGCTGCAGGACGTGCAGATGCGGCCGGCCGCCAACTCGCTCATGTTCACGGCCAACCGCCTGTCGCGCCCGCCGCCGCCGCTCAACACCGTGCAGCAGAGTGAGAACATTGCACATACTGTAAACAACAAACAAAAACGATCGTTCTCAATGATCATCCGTACTTTTTATGTCTACGCTGCAAGACATTTGCCTTTTTTTTTTAACCAGTAGTCTACCTTCGTATCGGTCCGGTAACTGTGTAATTGTTTGTTGCTCAATAAAATCTTATACATATTGATATTCAAAGAAGATGCGGTAATAATCTAGTTTCGATGTACTTGCAGATGTTCTGACACCGGCATTCGCGAGCACGCCGTCGTTGCTGAAGGAGACCGCTATCACTATTAAACCCGCACCGGATAAAAAGGACAAACCCAAAAAAGATAAGGTGAGGCACGACGACCGGCACCGGCGGGGGAGCGATCATCATCATTTCAGATATTGACCGTCCACTGCTGGACATAGGCCTTTCCTATAAACTGTCATAAAGAATAGTCCTAAGCCACCTGCGTTTACTGACTCCCTGCAATGTATTTGAGGTCATCACTTTATCTAGTGGTTGGTCGTCCTACAACTATGTGACAATGTGTATTTGTTGTGTGTATATTGTGTGAGCTATGTGACCAGCGTGTTGCCACTATAGCTTGCTTATCTTTTGAGCTATGTCGCTTACTTTAGTTTTTTTGCGAATATTCTTGTTTCGGATTTTAAAGAAACTCCGAACATAACTCTCTCCTTAGCCCGTTGAGTAATTTGAAGCTTTTGCGTAAGAACAATCGTTTAGAACCATGTTAAGTTTCCATAAATCATCACTGGCGACACGCACTGGTTAAAGACCTTAGTCTTTAAACTTTAAGGTATTTTGGATGCAAAAGGTGTACTGTAGTTTTCCGAACGCTGCCCAGCCGAGTTGGATTCGACGGTTGATCTCTCGGTCAAAGTTGGACTTGCCTATTCGGACAATTTGTCCCAGGTCCCAGGCCCATACTCGTCATACATAACTTCGAGCGTAGTGTTCTCAATCGTAACCGGTATAGGTTATAGACGCTAGACATGATCTTAGTCTTGTTCATGTTCGTGTAAAGGTCTACTTGGGTTGTTGGCAGGGCGTCAACAAGGACGAGGCGTGCCGGCTGGCCGTGGAGGCGGTGCGCGCGCTGGCCGCCGCCGCGCCCACGCTGCCCGCCGCCGCCGAGGACGACGACGAGGTGGCGCGGCCGCACGTGCAGCGGCTGCAGCAGCTGCAGCTGCCCGACAAGGTGCTGCGGCGCGCCATCAGCGCGGCGCTGGAGCACGCGCTGCTGGCGGGCGAGGAGGACGGCGAGGAGGGCGGCGAGGGCGGCGAGGACGGGCGCTGCTGGGCGGCGTGCTGCGTGGCGCGCGGCGTGAAGCGCGCGCCGCTGGGCGACACGCTGCGCGCGCTGCTGCTGGCCGCGCCGCAGCAGCCGCGCCTGGCCGCGCTGCTGGCGCACGCCGTGCGGCAGCGGCTCGTGGCGCTGGCGGACGTGGGCGCGTGGTGCGAGGGCGGGCAGCACCACCCGCTGCTGCTGCGCGTGCTGCAGGAGCTGCGCGCGCTGCTGGGCGAGGAGCGGCTGCGGCGCGTGTACGACGAGAGCAAGATCAACCTGTGCGCGTACGTGGAGGCGGGCGAGGCGGGCGAGGCGGGCGAGGCGGGCGAGGCGCTGGCGGCGCTGGAGGCGCGCGGGCTGGCGGCGCTGGTGCCGCAGCTGCGGCTGCAGGCCACGCTGGCGCGCCAGCTGGCCGCCGAGCCCGCGCCGCACGCGCTCTACCGCTGGATCAAGGTCGCTCTCTACTCTCTCTCCTCTCTTCCCTCCTCCCTCCTCCCTCCTCACATGTCTTGTTCAACATAAACCACTAACCGACTGTTGCCTCACTTTTTTTTATTCTTTTAATATAAAAAAAATGTTTTTATAATGATGCTGTCGCTAATGATACTTTTGTATTCGGAATTTGTTCTTTTTCATTTCAATCTTTCGTTTTATTTATTTTTTAATAATGTTATACATCCGAGAAGTCGATATTGGCGATCCGCACAAATACTAAAATTAGGAGGCCGCTTGAAAATTAGCGCTTTATTAGTACACCTCGCTGGAGTTGTGCATATATAGTGACAGCTGAGGTGGTTTCACCGACCAGCAAAATGTAGTGTTTATTTTCTATTTTATTGTTTTTATTTTAACTGTAATTATTATTTTAGGGTATTTGTTTGGTTGCTATTGGTAGTAAAGGATGAATCTGGTCTATCTAAAAATATTTACTGCGCATTCACTCATCGATTACGGTTTAGCGAGGCTCGAGGAGCCGTCACGGACACGCGTGCATTACGCTGTATTGTATGTGGTCAGTGTCGGCAACTTTAGTTGTGGCGTCTTCCCATCCTGTTATAGATTTTAAAGGTCTTAAAAAATTACTGCCAACAAATAAAATGATTGATGAGATCAAGTATTGAGGGTGCATTGTGGCTCAGGACAGTAAGGGATAGTAAAAGATGCAGGACAGCTTTGTGTCGAAATATTTACGGTCAATAAGTAAATCGTTTGAAACTGAAATTAAATGTCGACGAACGAGAACGTACGTCGAAGATGGGTGCGAGCTGCAGTGTGGCCTCCGCAGGCGAACGTGGAGCCGGCGGTGCGGCAGAACGCGGCGTTCGTGTCGACGCTGGTGGCGCTGGTGGCGGGCCACGTGACGGCGGAGGCGGGCGCGGGCGCGGGCGGCGGCGCGGACGGCGCGGCCGGCGCGGGCGGCGCGGCCGGCGCCGACAAGGCGGCGCTCGAGCGCGAGAAGGCGCTGCTCGAGACGTACGCGCCGCTGCTGACGGCGCTGCTGGGCGGCCGGCCCGACCTGCAGCTGGCCGCCGTGTACGCCGTGCAGGTGCACGCGCACCACCATCGCTACCCGAAAGGTGACCCTGACATTTACACTCGCCTCGTGAGCTCATGGCCTCGTGTCCGTAGGCGACCGTTACGCACTGCCTACCGTCTAGTGGGCAGTCGGCTTGTTTGTCATTCTGGTCCTAAAAAATATTGTGAGCGCCTAATCTGTCATTTCTCGCTTGGCTTATATGTATAGACGTAGTCACGTCTAAAAATTAACTTATTATTACGTGCACTATTATACAGGGAGACATTGTTAGCATCCTTTTGTGGCGGTATTCTACCAGTGAAATTGAATATTTACACCAAAAAAAGCATATACAACAAACAGTTGTGTCTCCCATATTGACGTTTAGTTTATATTAATGATTCTCGCTTTTGCCATGCACGATAGATGTGGCGTACTATTGTTCGCAGATGACACTTTTTTGAGTTTTATTGTTGAACGATTGATCTGAAATTATGACGATGTAAGTAATGCTGTGGTTGCATTGGTTTACAACTAATAATCCAATGTTGAAAGCTACTATAAATGTTGTATAATTTTTAGAAAAAAAAAGGACTAAACTATTGGTCTAATAACCATACAATATGCAACATTTTCTTTTATTTCGGATCCATCTGTGAACCAAATTAGGTCATGTTTCCAGTTAGACTGTATCTAATCTTTATTCCATTTGTTTCTTTCAATTATTTTAATGTTGTAATATTTTTCAAAATTGCTTTCTGCAATAATGTCGTCTTCTGGCATTCCCTGAAATGAAATCGCTCATTGTTAATTTTTCAAAGGTTTTGAGCATCTGTAATTACCATATGTTCCTTCTATGGGAACTATTTCGAAGCATACTGGATTTAGCTTTTTCTTGTATGGATAGGGATGGGGGTATTAAATTCAATAATGCGTTCATAGCTGCTCCCGACGAAGTACTCATGGCTTCTGCAGTTATCAGACATTCTGTCAAAACAGCCGTCGCCTGCATTGAATTTTTCCACCAAATTACGCAGGCGTATGTTATTAACGATCTAACTATGGCTGTGTGGGAAAAGGGATTGTTAGTAATGGAGACTGAGATACATAGTTTGTTTCTCTTCAATCGAAAGACAATGAAATCAATTTTATACTAATTATTGATTTAATTACATTTTTCACTTAATAAACTTTGAACAGAGTAGTTTGCAAGTACAGACTACTCTGTTTCATGTTTTATCTCTGATTTGAGTATGGTTAACCAATTATAGTCTGTTGGGGGAAAGGGATTGTTAGTAATGGAGATTGAGAATCCCATTGCTAGCAATATACCCAATCAGGTCGACCTCTTCGCGGTTCCGCCTGGTAACTATCATGGTTAATTCCTGATGAATTCATCATGATGGTCTAACTGGCCTGTTTTCATTCTCATCTATCACCCTTCACAGTTTATATTTATAATACGCTTGAAGAACATAGATTTTATCCGTTGAATGGATGTTTTATCAACCCCTTTTCGGGAGAGACCTTGTATAATAGAGTCGGTAAGGGTATTATGAAATGCGCCCTGGATGTCAAGAAAAGCAAATAGAGGTATTTAGTTGTTCTCATCAAGGGTTTTTCTTCGTTCTTGTCGGTGATCTCAAGTGAGGCGGTTTCAGTTGATTGCCTCATACGGTAGGCATGTTGAGTTTTGTACAAGGAGAATTTGATGCCGAGTACAGAGGTTCTTACGATCTAGTGCCTTTTCCATCGTTTTGTGAGACTGGCTACGAGTAGTCACTTCGACCAGTTTGTAGTACAAAAGATAAGCTGGTCTTTGTGTTTCTGGAATTATACTCCAGGAGGCAAAGCTGTACCGATTGATTTTTGTCTGTTATAGTAATTACAACTTTTTAACGCGTGCAGGTGAACACCTTACAGTTGCTTTTATTTCTCTTGATGTTTTGGCGTATTGTTGAAGCGAGTGTACAATATATAATTCAGATATATTTTATATAAAGAGAACAAACATTTTTAGAGACTATTTTATTTACAGAACATTTGGTGAGTGAATTCAACTCACACTTCACAGAGGGGAGATGATTGTTAATAGTGATATTTCACAGACCAATTTTTACTAATATCAGGATCTTTTTTAATGGATTATAGTGGAATGACAACCCCTCTTGCGCTATCGGTATACACTTGCGGGGCACCAGTGAGAGATACTAGGTGAGAACAAAAAGGCAGGTCAGTTAGCCCATCGTGAAGAATAAATACATCCGAGATTCAGCACGCTGGTTTCCAGGAGGGAGCATGTGGAAATCGACCTGACAGAGAGTATATTGCTAGCAATGAGACCGATAGTCAGCATTGTTAACAATCCCTCTCAACCAGTAGTATCAGGTTAGTATCAGGTCAACTTTCACATGGCTCCTTCTGAAAAACGTTGGGATTGTTTTATTTGGTTCGATGAGCTCACTTGTTTTCCTCCTCGTATCTTTCACTGGACAATTGCCCTATCAACGTATACCGATAGTGCAGGCGGAGTTACCATTCCATCGTCACCCATTCAAAACAACCTTACACTTGACTCGTTTTTTTTTTCTGAAGTTTTTCTCAACTGTCAAATAAGCTTACTGCCTACCTGATGCAAAGCGGTAACTGTCGCCTATAGATATGAACAGTACCGTGAACGTCATAGGATACTTCGTGATACACATGGTGCATCTTTCTATATCAATAGGATATTATTTGGATTATACCAAAATACTACAAATATGTAGTCCTGAAAAAGCGTTTTTATTATAATATATACAAATAATATAAGAACATTCCGGTGTGTGGTGGCCCCAGGCATGCTCCTGCGCTGGTTCATGTACCTGTACAACCTGGAAGTGTGCGAGGAGGAGGCGTTCCTGCGCTGGCGCGAGGACGTGACCGACGCCTACCCAGGCAAGGGGGAGGCTCTCTTCCAGGTAAAGATAATCACTGTCAAATTCATTTGCCTCTAGAGCCTCGCAAGCAGAGCTCGAGCTTTGGGCAACGCGTAGTACGGAGCTTCGTACTGGTTATGTCAGTCTTTGGAGAGTCATACACGAGTTATGTAAACTCTATGGAATCCTCTGGAACTGCACTTGCTAATAATTTGAAGATTCAGACACAATCATTGAAATCAATTAAAGTATAAAATTTTATTCTGAAACTCCCGTTTCAGTGAACAATATCGTTTTTTTATGTATCCAGTTTAAGTTATATACAATAAAAACAACATTCTCGCACTGTGCGTCCGTGCGTGTCAGTCGCATGTTTGAGTCATTCGACTAGCTGCCTATACTCAATGTCTCTTACGTTCGAGGTACATGCTAACCGCGAAACTCTCGTGTGCAGGTGAACACTTGGCTGACATGGCTGCAGCAGCAGGAATCCGAAGACGAGGAAGCGGAGGACTAGCCGCCGTGAACGTGCACCCCTCGTCTCCCACGGACGGCCGCCGATGGGCCGCCCTGCTTTTATTTTGCGCTCATCTCATTATATAAATATAATTAAGCCAAATAGTTAAAAAATACCTACCTTCACCGTTTAACTCTAGACCCGCGAGCGTCGCGCCAGAGGCTCCAGGGTTAAACAGGTCAATTTTTAGGTTATACTACGTAAACGAATATTAGTATCTCGAGATAATTTTTTGTAGGCCTTTTACTCGATTTTGATACTTTTACAAATGTATACAATGTATAGTGTTCGTTTGGACGTATGATTGCACTCCGATCTGCCCCTACCTACAGAGAGCGTGTTTTAGTTAAAATTGTAACATATATATATATATATATATACATGATATATATACGAACTTAAATCAATTTTTTATTAATATCATGATCATTTATTTTCAATGCTAAATGGACTTAGTGATAAACTGTAAGAATGCTTCGATTTCATTATATTATCAAACTCTAGAATTTTGTAACTAGATAAATAAAAAACTAAAAAAAAAATATGGTTTCCTCGGGCGTAAGAAATGTATGTTGAGTGAGTTGTAATAAAGTTGTGAAGTGATGCCACTTAATTAAGCAACAATGATCAATATGTATTCAGGAGGAATAAAGTTCAGTGTAATTTATTACAAAAGGTATTTTTTTTTGCGTAATTCTTATATATAAGAATCCTATATCAACTATAGTCGATAACACCTTAGTCCTCGTCAGGAATGGCAATGTGTAAAGGGCATCATGGACAACATAATATACTCTTATATCCATATACATGGTGACTGTTCATATCTATAAGTGACTGTTACTACTTTTCATCAAGTGAGCCATCAGTTTGTTTGTTATTTCAAGATAACATTTGCAATGGTTACCCACTTATAATGTTCTCTAAAGCTACAGTTTCGATTTGATATCACAGCTAAATCTGAAACAATATGAACTAAATTTTTAATACTTTTTGTTCTTAATAAAGATTTTACTGTAATATCTAGATAAGATTGTAATTTTAGAATGTGGTTTTGGAGAATGGTGCCACATTCAATCCTAATGTCTACTTGCACCAACATTTGCTCTCTTATAATTCTCAACTGCATACATGTCAGTTCCAGAAATGATGTGGATTGGACCAATTATATACTGAGGTAAACCTCAGGATTGGTATTATTACAGGACTTTCTTCTCAGAGTATGGAATCTTGAAAATGTTGACACTGAAGTTATATTTTTGTTATCTCAGGCAGGTAACAGTTAAAATAAAACAGAACTTTGAAATATTTTGATGTAACACTTTATATTTTTAAATAATCATCTAACTTAACAATAAAAAATGAGTCTCAGAAGGACACATTAGTATCTATATGATGCAATTGCTGAGTTGATTGAAGCATTCTATAAATTGAAACCACCGTGTTCCAAAATAAATGGAGCTGCAAATGAAAAAGTTTTAGTTATTAACAAATAAAACAATTTGATACAATTAAACCAGATAGATAACAAGAAGTTTATGCAATCATGACTGCTTTTATTGATTTTAGCACATGAATAGTGAACACTGCAGTGACATTATTATATATTTATATGACACATTGCTATTAGCATGGTCCAATGGACATCTACAGATGATATCAACAAATTCACTGGCCTGTCAATTACTGCCAATTCAGTGGTGAATGTTTTCCTTATATACTTTATTAAAGTAGATGATTCTCAATTCAATTTTTGTACCCTGTGGCTCCACATGTGATGCCATGAACAGCCCATGAAGATATCTATGTGCTAAGTTGGGATATAACCTACCCTTGTATCAAATTCATTCAGCACTTTTTGCACAAAAAAGCAACAATCATCCATAGATCATTACAAACTTTCCCATTTATAATATTTATTCTAGATCAATTTGGATAATTCTTTTTAAATTTGTCAAGATGGTGTTTTTTATGAGCAGTGAAATTGGAATAGAATAACGCTGATAGGCACAATAATTTCCAGGGGGAACTGTGGAGGTCAATCTGAGGCTGTATTGCTAGCAATGGAGCTATTAGACTCCTTTACTAATAATCCCACATCTACAGTTTTTACCTTTGAACATTCTACAGTTTTCTTTCAGATTTTCAAAGGTTGACTGTAAGAGATCCCTCTACAGGATAAGCCCGCCGTTGTATGTTAAATGTTTTAATGTGTCCAATGTAAATTATGTACAATTATGGTTTTTACAATAAAACACAATTCCTTTCTCTCTATCAAAATAGTGTTATCATACTGTTTTCTCTAGCAGAATATTATTAGTGCCACAAATATAGTATTTTAATTTATAAAGTTAAACGTGGGTATGGATGACTAATATTAGATAGCCAGTGTAATCTTAGACAGATATATGACACTTTAGTTTTATTGGTGTTAATCTATGACTGTTATCCCATATATTAATAGGGATTAAAATTATTTTTTTACTGTGGGCACATGACTTTATTTCACAAGCCCTAGTGAGGATAACACAAATAATAACAAATCCCCCTAAGGTTGTCTGATCTTGACTTAGAATAGGTCACCCCTTCCTTTTCCGTGGGTGTCGTAAGAAGTGACTAAGGAAAGGCAAGGGCTGGGCAGCAGCATCCTTTTTAATATATCTACAAAACCTAAATGTGGTTGCCTGCCAATCGTGGCAACTACTGGCAAAAACTCCTAACGAAAAGGCTTATATTTAGCAGTGGGCAGTTAAAGGCTGAAATTTTGCTGATGATTAACCATTAACAGGGTGGAGAAGGATTGTTAGTTATGAGGATTAATGACTCCATTGCTAGCAATATGCCTTATAAGGCCGATCTCCCTGAAAACTATAAATTTGTGGCGAATTAATCACGATGAGCTGACTAATCTGCTTTCATTCTCATGGCGTCCCTAACCTGGTATGGGTATAACGATAGCGCAGGCAGATTACCATTCCAGTTTAATCTTATAAAAACAAAAAGAAAGAAATGCCCTAAATAAGGTTAGATGCAGAAAAAAAGTAGTGTAAAATTAATCATTGAAATAATAATTGCAACAAAGTTGTCAGTGTTTATAATTATATATAAGGTACTATAAAATCAGAAAATTCCGTGTTGAAACTTACCAGCTCTAATTGCCGCACAAAGAACACAAAACGTGATTACACTATTTATTGTGTTTTCCCTTGCTTGGCGTTTTTCTTCCATAGGATCTACCCTTTCTCCCAATGGTAAACGAAACATTTTTGAACTTTTAAGCCTTTCAAACGGGTAAAATAAATTGGAAACTTCCAATTTCTAAAAAAAAATTTAAGCAAATAGCAATTTTAATTTTGGCGTAACAGAATGAAAAACAAGGCGCACTTGTCAGATTGACATTACCAGTAATTAATCTGTTTTAAAGTACTGACCTAAGATTGGTACTGACAGTGTTGCCAATTGACACTACCTACTCTAAAGACTTTAAAATATAGTATATAAAATAGCATAATTAATAAGTTTCATCACAGACTGTAATTATATTTTTAATCAACATACCTTTATCGATTATTATTACAATAGATCAATATAAACATTAACTTTATTGACACCATCATGAAGTTATAGGTAAAGATGGAAGGAACACTCCAAATACCTATAAGATGCAAAATATATATATTGCTATCTCACTCTCTGAAAGGAGGAAAAAAAATAGGGTGACTATAATTTTTGTTTTAAGAGAAAATATTGTAATGTTATTATTTTGCTCAAAAATATTTTTAAATATAATATAATGAATAAATTAAAAAACTAATATGGTAATGTCCCCCCCCCCCCCCCCCAGGAAACACAACTGACATAAGTTTCAGTGTTGCCGACTGTTGCAGCATTTTTATTACCCTTGAAGCGGGTAAAGAAATTGTTACACTATAATACTAGTAGTAGTATAGTACTCTTTATATACTACTAGTAATTAAGGAATTATATAATACAGTAAGTATTGTATTGTTTAATTTCTATTAATATATAATTATATTATTTGCTACAAGTAAACCTACTACTAGGTTTTTTTGTTACTTTACAATAACTCTAATTCAGTCATTCTTCGAACAGAAACAAAGCAATATCCTGAAACTACACAAATAAGTGAGATTTCATGGTGAAATCTTAGTATACTAGTGGCTTACCATATTTATGTAACCTCGACAATATTATTATTATTTTACACTTTATTGTACCAAGTAAAAAGAGAAATAACAAATATAGTACAGTAACAAATATAATAACAAATATTTAAATAAATATAACAAATTAAAAAATAATAGACAGCACCATAAAATCATTTCAAAACCACATAGAACGACTTTATTCACTAAAAGTGTCTTAGGGATGGCACCTAGAATATATAATAAATTACTTAAATCCCTCATAGACATAGATGACATAAAAAATTAAAAACTAAATTCCAGACAAATTATCTTTTTGAAGACTAGGCAGCATGGTCTCCGACCTTAGCCTGTTCCAAACGGAACAAACGTACTAAAAAAAAAAAAAAATTAAAAACTAAACTGTATGAATACCTAGTAAACAGAACATACTATTCAATTGAGGATTTCCTTGAAGATAAATGTAATAAATTTCCATAATATTATAATTTTTTACTCTAAATGTGACATTGTTGATTTTTTTATATATTTTTTTCTTATATAATTGCAAATTTGTATACCTCGATAGATGGGGTTGATCATAGAGGACTTATCTTGTTTTACCATCCATTGTTACCTGTGTATCACGATTTAAATAAATAAAAAAAAATAAAAAGAAAAAAGGAGGCAACTATACGTTTTACAGTTTTTATTTTATCATTCCTTCTTTGTAATTATTTGTTCTTTGGGACAAAATTACAGTATAACTGTTGTTACTAGGCAATGAATATATTACTCTATGAACTACTAACTTTTCCTAAAGATTTTGTATTCCCTCATCCAAAGATATCTGAATTGAAATTTATTATCGTAGCCTTCAAATGAGATAGTTCTCTCAACTCTACTCTATTCTCCAGTTTTGGGTAGAAGTTCTACTTAAAAGTTTCACTTATCAACAGATTTGTATCACTTTAAACAAAAAATAAATATATAATTCTATGCTACCCATTTTAACCACTATTAGGAATTATATTCCATCAATACCGATTTAGACAATTTTGAATGAACGGCATGAGAGAGTTAGAGTCATAACGCTCAAAAATGCACCTTAAATTGTGTAAAAAAAAAGTAATTTCTGTATTGATAAATTTCGTACTGAAATATAAAATTTAAAATTGCTATAAGTGTGATATGATCTAAGGAACAAGGGAGGTTTTTGTATAATTTTCAAATGAGTACATAAATATATTGACGTAGGTAAAATTTGCTAGGTTTTATCTAATTAAGCAATCTACTAGTTAATATCGTAGCGAAGTCGATATTTTACGTTACGTTTTCAATTTTGATAATAAAATTCATTAGTGATATTTCTAGCACGGTTCCTACTAATTATGGATATAAACTCAAATTCAATTATAAGTCATGAAAATAACTATTTCCTAACATTATGAATCAATGATTATTTAATTATATTAGCATTATACACATTTCTCATTAAACTATCACTTTATATATAGGAAATAATAAAAAGTATTCTATTAACCAAAAAAACTTAGGTCGAAGAAAGCTGAAAGCCTTTCATACTATGTTAACTCAGCGTGATGTATATGTATGGAAAATTCGAAATTTTCTATCATTTTAAATTTTTCGTTCGCCAACTTTTTATATTAATATATTCTATAGCATAGATAATTTATTAATGCTTTTTATTTGTTTTTTATATTGTCATTGTTTGTCTAAATATATATATATAAAAAAAAAATAGATAGGTTTTTAATTTTCCGTACTGCTAGCAATGTCGATTTAAGTTTATTGCAATATGTAATTGAAATAATATACAAATGATGTTTGTTGATTTATGTACATACGTACATATTCTCTAAATAAGAATACGCGTACTTTTTCGGATGCATTAAGATGAAGACATAACTAAATTTAGATGAAGCAAAAAGAATTTTGGTTATACAACCTGTAATAGAACATTATAAATATAAAGAATTTAGCATCAAATTTGGAAATTTTACATTATAAAATATCGACATCCACATTTTGGATATAAGCATGTATAGATATTAACACATTATGAACATTTATTACTGTTAATAATTCGAGATGGTAACATACATTCATTTTCTCAGTTTTGTAGATATAAGGCTATGTCGTAAATAATATGCTTGGTCTGTGTTGTCAACAACAAATGAGAATTTATCAATCAAGCAAGAAATCGGCAAGATGAAAACTTACTGTCTCTTGTGCCTTTTAATCTTTATAAACTATCATTAAACATAAAATCGTTAACTCTCAACTTCAATTAAATATTGTTAAGCTGTTATTCTTCTGTAAATTAGTTTCATCTAAACAAACATAGCTGTCCTTTTCTCTAGAACTAAAAATAAATGCTCGAGTTGCGCAACATGGCGAACCCACCTCAGCTGCTTTAGTGAAATTTTCTATGTAATAGTTTTGTGACTGTGACACGCTCTACTTATCTTCAGATTTCAAGTTGTTCATTTCAATGAGTGTACAGTTAGGTTTATCAGTACCTATTGTGATGGGTCAGTTGCTAATTTTAATAGTTGTCTACTAAAATACATACGGGTCTCGGGCTGTAGGATATCTCGTAAGAAAAGTTGTTTTTTTGTTTGGAAACAAGGAAAAAGAAATCCATCAAACTGGAGCGGTTACCCGAGTATCTGCGCGACACCGTCGACTGGTTCATGGGGTGAGTGTCCGTTCGCCATTCTCATTGTTTCACTACTAGGTTACTACGAACCAAATCAACGAGTGCTGTACTTACTGTTTACAAGAATTCAACACAACAAATGCATATTTTTCGTGTTTATATTATTGCCTAAATACTCGATAGAAAATATAACAAGTTCTTTAATAAATTGGCTTTAATACTTATCCATTCATATTGATAATCAATAAAACTAATTATTCTTGGATATTTAAATGATCAGTGGTGCACATTTAGTCATATAAACAAAATGATTTAAATGGCTGACTACTTTTCAAAATATAAAGAGAACCATCAAATTTGTGTAAACCCATAAATTCTAGCTTTCCTTTTGCACAAATTATATTGGTGTTAATTTATTCTACAAGAAAAACTGCCTCATAATCAGCATCATCATACCAACCAGACATTGTCCCACTGTGATCCTATCTGGAACCTTGTACACTATAAAATATTCTACATAAATTTGTTGGTATTTAGCTTGAGATATCAGCTAATATTTCTTTAGTGGAAGGGAATAGGATAAACACAATATAAAAGTAAGTAAAATTTAATAGAAGAGCAAATACAGAAAGCAAAGATTTTTTCTAAGAATGTGCCAACTTAATTTAAAACCATATCTTTTTAAATTACAACCGGCCAGTAGTTTATAGCTGTATGAAAATAAACCTATTTCTAACAAAATTTCACTGAAACAAATACTTATCAGAATTGGGTACATTCTGGAATGTCTGTTTTCATCTCATTGTTTATCACCATCCCTTTACATAATTATGGACAAATATTTCTACTATAATTTCAATAAAGAACCTACTTATAATAGATACAACTTTAAATAATGCATCAAGTTAATCTTTGTGAAATTGTTATGCAAATGGAAGTTGGTATTATCTGTTACAAGAATACTTATGACTGTCAGTCTGTTTACTACAGTTGAAAATAATATAAAAACCTGTAATTGGGACTAATTAATGTTTTTATTTATTTTTATTTCGTGTTTTGAAGTTTATGCAATGTAAACAATGTTGAGGATCATTGTTGTGTTGTAACTTTTTTTAAAATATTATTATTAGTGGCACCCTTAGTAGTGTATGAAATGTGGCAACAGTTAAATGTAAACAAAATTAACAGCAATTTACAAGTACTGACTTTTTTACTGTATCAATTTAGAAACAACTAGACACATGAAACAGTAGTATTGTAATCTTTTGTGTAGCAAATACTTTTTATTTGTGACTTCATCCTTAAGACTGAATTTTGATTGATCAGGATAAAAGTAACCAATATATTTATCCTAAATATTATATGTACAACAATTGTCAGCATTCAGCATGTTAGTTTCCAAGGGGGGATCATGTGGAGTTTTACTATGTTGGGTACATTGCTATCCGTTAGTCTCAATTGCTAACAATCCCTTCCCTCTCTCCCCTGCCCCCCATTTGATCAGTTTTAATACTGTATAGGAAAATCACATGATTAAGATACCTATTTACTTTGTGACAATTCTATATGACATACTGCAGCTGGGGCAGAGCTACTCATGCAGATGATTTTAGTAAAAATCTCTATTGCAGTACTGTTGCTTGAGTAAACACTTCGACCCATATTCACATTGCATTGCTTGCATTAAAATGTATTTCTTTTTTTTTATTACTTACAATTATAATTTTAATGAATTGGAATAGAACCATTAATGTCCTGTTAAAAATAAATCTTTGGAACTACAATAAACCATAAACTAAATAAGCTCATAAACTAATTAAAATTAATAATTACTAATTAATTAGTATCAACTAATTATTTTAAAAATTAGTATTATGTCAATAAGTATTAATGTAATAATAATTATAAATTATAATTTATTGCCATTCAAAATGCCTGTGAAATTCTACAAGTTCTCAAGTCAATATTTCCATTTCTGGATACTTTTTTTTAATAGGTGATAATGGAATGGGAACCTCACCTGAGCCTGCGGGTATTGACTTGCGGGGCACTCGGTGAGTGATGGTAGATGAGAATGAAACAGGTTAGTTAGCCCATCATGACGAATTCAACAAGAATTAGCCACAATGGTTTCCATGGGAAACCATGTGGAGGGATACCTGATAAGGTATATTGTTAGCAATAGAGCTGTCAAACCCCATTAATTACAATCCTCCCCCCCCCCCCCCTTCCTCTGGATGCTAGTTCCTGAAACTGTTAATCAGATACAATGCCAGTAGAAGAAGAGTCTGTTTTGTCAGCTCCTTTTTTTTCATGGAATATGGAAAAGTCTTTTGTCATGCATTATTAGTAGTCATTTAAATAGACATTGATTCCTGGATATTCTGATTATATTTATCATGTTTAAACACTTAAAATTATACTCAATTCCTTTCATTTCACTTTGAGTGAATTACACCCTACCATCCTATATAACACAAACAACATAATATCCATACTGTTTTTGATTATACATTGTCCTATATATAAATTTCCTGTGGGTTTGTTATATATTTCAAATCAAGTGGGTCCCAGATATTTGTTTTACTATTTAACTTACTGTACATGAAGGTATTATATATAATGTTTTGATGGCCTGTATATCATCTAATTGGCCTCTCTGCATAGGATAGGCTACCCCTTCCTTTTTCAGAGATGTTGTAAGAGAACTTAATAGTTGAAGGATGTGTAACAGCGTCCCTCTTAAAACAACTCTGAAGCCTAATTGTGGTTGCCAATCTGCCTGCCAAGCATAGCAACTACTGGCAAGACCGCCTAAGAGGAGGCTTATGTCCAGCAGTGGGCAGTTAAAGGGTGATATGATGATGATGATACCATCTTATTGTGAAGGGTAAATGTATGCATGTGCACAATGTAGAAGAAGTAATAAGGTTTCTGAAGCTTAGATCTTCAGACATGAACACCTCTAAATCTCTCATTAGCCTTACCCTCGGTATAACGGGGTCTTTTATCATATTGACTTATCATCATTTCGTAATTGATAATTTGCTCTATGACTAAAAATTCTACTGAAGGTTTAACCTCATGTTGCAGGAGCTCACAGTCAAAGAAATTAAAAAGAAATAATTAATATTAGAAAAATAATAATCAAAATTTAATAGTCAAAATTTGAATCCGTGGCGTGAATCTCTGACGGCTGACGGCTGGCACATCACATCAGTATCATGTACACACGCACACGGCGTCCATGATGATGTCGCCAATATGAAATTGTTTTAATAGAAATGCTTCGAAACGATTTATTGCAATTAGTTACATAGAACACTACAGTGTGTACAATAATTTATAAGATGATTGTAAAAATGTACGTAGGTATTTCCAGCCTTTAATTCAGTTGGTACTTTTGTATCAAGCATAGTATATATGTGGCAAGGTTCGTATGTACGGCGTCAGCAGTGCGCCAGTTGCAGCGGCAGCGGAGGCTGCATGCGGCCGGCGCTCACTGCTCAGTGGCGTTCAATGGGGGCCGCGCACCGCACATCGCACGGCAGGCGCTCCGCCAGGTGCGAGATGATAAGCCGTGATGTCACCACGCGCCAGTGACGGTCGGCGGCTCGCCGCTTCGTCTCGGCTCGGCTCTCGCCATTGCTTGCCTTCAGTTGCCCGCGGCGCGCAAACGTGAGCGTTGTTTTTTGTGATAGCCGCATCGCATGTTCACCGCCGCAGCTCTCTCGAGCGAAAACCGTAGTGATAGCTTAGACGTGTATTTATCGAAGATATACGGTGACGAGAGTAAGACGCGGCACAGTGTCGTGTATGTTAGTGAAGGCTTGGATTCGTAGGATGAGCGCGGGCGGCGGCGACGGCGGTGAAGAGAGTCCCGCGCGTCGCTGGCCCGTGGGCATCTTGAGACGTAGCGGCGCGCGCGCAGCCCGGCGGGTGCTGCACGTGAAGTACCGCAGCGTGCCGCCGTCGCCGGCGTCCAGCCCGCTGCCGCACGCACTGCCGCTCGACATCGACGACACCGTCTCTTGCTTTTGCAGGTGCGTTAGCGCTGCAGTCGATCGGTGTACACGTCCAATTAATCAGTATTGTCGTAAACATCCATGCGAGACATGGAATAATTCCTTTGCTTGTTATTGTTAACCTTCGCACGTCTCTGCTATTTCTAATTATTAATATTAATGAATGATGCCGTGGGTGTGAGCGGTTATTATTGTTGTTGCGAATATTGGGTGACCACATGGAACAGTCGATATGTTATAGTGGACAGATAACAACGGTGAAGCAGATTGAATGCATCTGTTGTCCGTACCATTTAAATGTATTGTCTCCGACTGCACACTGGGTGCGAGTTGGTAAGTGGTACCGTGTGGCGGCGTGTGGCGCGCTATCCAAGCACGTTATCGCGCAATCGTGCTGTGGCGGTCGCGTGTTATCGCTACACCTGTGTGACGTCAAGCAGTGTTCGCGCCGAGCGCCCCTTTGTTCTATTGTCGATTGTCATATATAAATAGTAACTAATTACCTTTCTCACGACTCCTCGCAATGCTGAACGAAACAATCCAAGTTCTGCAACAATCCTTTGTTTAATGATATCAGTCGTACAGTCCACTGCTGAACATAGATCTCCCATTTGGGAGGTTTTGCTAGTAAGTTGCCAGGTTTGATAGGCGGGTTGGTAACCGGGGTTGGGCTTTGGTAATATTTTAAGGAGGACGCTGCTACCCATCCCTCAAACATTAACTTCCTTTAGGTGCCCCTTACGACACCCATGGGAAAAGAAGGAGTGGCCTATATTATGCCGATACCAGACGGCGGTCGGCGGTGGTAGTAAATAATCCTCTGTTTATCACCATCAAATTATATCGAAGTATCGATAATGATTAGGGAAGAAAGGTTCTTGACAGGCAAATATAATGTAGGACGAGCTCCCACTAGATGAAGCGACGACCTGAAATGTGTCGCAGGGAGTCAGTGGATGTAGGTGGTTCGGGACCGTCCCTTATGGCAGTCAAAGGGGGAGCCCTATGTCCACTAGTGGACTACTGTTAACGACTGTTATGATGATGATGACATTAATATTGTAGTGAGTTTTAAATGTATATTAGTCAAATAACTCCTCCATACCTTTCCTCCATACCGTAGGTGGCGGAAACCATCAACAAATGCATTCCCAAAGAGGGTTGATGTCAGGCAGGTGGCCGGTCGTAAAACTAAAAACCAAATCTTTTTGTAATATGGATAAAATCATATTACGCCGACCCCAAATGGTTGGGATAGAGGTAGGAAGATGATGATGATGATTAGTCAAATAACTTCTAAAGGTAGGAAGTTCTCTAGTTAGTGTATTTTTTCTTTTTTGTAGCTTGATTTTTATATCTTTTTTTTTTATCAAAGAAAGGATTTACTCTCGTGTTTGATTTTTTATCAAGATATTTTGTTAGCACTACTTATTGGGATATAAGTATTCTAGCTATCAAGTAAGAGCAAACAGTACGCATTTACAAAATTCCATTAAAATCGGTTGAGCAGTTTTGGAGATTAGCGTCAACGAAAATCGTGACACGAGATTTTTTTATAAGAAGTGGCACTGTACTGTAGCTTCACAATACATATACGCAAAAATTTTGTATAAACGCAGGAATTTTCAACTATTTTTTAAAAACAGTGATCTCAATAATGTAAATGTAAATAGATGTAAACACAAACTTGCTGTTCCGAAGTATCGTTTAGAAAAAGTTAATAGGTCTTTTATGATATTATGTGTAATAAGATACCGGATGATATTTTGGATCTGCCTTTTAATAAGTTTGAAACTGTTAAAAAACACTTAGTGCTCGGTGTCAGTCGATCATGCACGGGCTTCTAATGATCGATGTAATACCGAACGATGTAATAGACATAGTATATTAAATACATATATTGTTAACAGAGATTTAAACGAGTAACAATTGAGTTTGTTGCGGACTCTTCTCAACAGATAACGACCTGTCGAACCCTGTAATAGAATAAAAAAAATTGAAAATTTAAAAGGGCTTGTTAGCAAGTGTATTTGAATAAAAATGATTTGAATTTAATTTGTAATAAATTTTCATAAGTAAAATCTATTAGTACTCGTATCCGTATGCGACCTGTACGGATTCGTGTAGGTGTATTAATTATTATATATGTGGCTTTTGTTACATTATCTAATCATCATTCGGCTGGTTAGTAACCAAAGTACCCAGCCGTATCTACGTGCTTTTCTATGGGATTTTCCGCCTTTTAGTATTACATTGTGCCTGACTACGTACGGTAGGTGAGGTGGTCGGCTGCCGCGATGCCGTGCCGTGCGACTGCTATCATTTCCGCTACGTGATATTATTATGAGATCACGTATTCTTATCTTCAAGAAAATTACCTATAGTTCCACTAACGTATTTAAATAATTTTACTGCTTGTGTTTAAAATATATCTACTTTATGTAGATAAACTGTAAAACTGGGACGCGTTGGCTTTATATTGTATTATAGTGCAACGTACTATTGTAATTATTACACAATGTACAAATTTTATTCAACCTATCTAATCCTATCTTAATAAGTATAATGATCTATACGCGTGAAGTCGCGAGAGACAGCTAATTGTCTATAAAGTAAAAAACTTGCTAAATTAAAGTTGTGCCTACACCCGGGGATACCGTACATAAAATATAACCTGTAAATAGATTTCTGTTTTCATTAGAGTCAAATTTATTTCGTTACCGATATTAACCAGTTTTTCTTTCCTGTAATATAATTCTGTATTATAGTGCAGGAAATTATTTGTTTATAAATTGATATAAACATGTTGCTAATAATTAAGCGATAAACAACGCCCCGTAGCACTACAACATTTGAATAATTAACATCTTCTTTATGTATTTGCATAAAATATGTCAAGTTTGACATAAAATTAAATATTTATGGACAGATTAGTTTGTACTAATTAAAAATAGACGTATGTATATTGTGGTGGGTAATTGTAAAGTATAAGCTACTTTTTAAATCGATTGCCAATTTTGACGACAATTCGTAAACGTTCATTGGTGTATTAACACATGGCAGTTACTTAACAATTATAATTGTTTAAACTAGCTTTTTGCCTGCTACTTTGTACGCGTGGATTTTAGAAATCAAACACAGATTTAGAGTTGGACTTTCAGGAACATAACTGTGAAAATGGCATCCAATTTGGTGCTGTCGTTTTTGCATGATGATGGTACAAACAAAACGGAACACAAAATCCTAAAAAAATATTGTTTGGACTTCTATTGCTTCTATTGCTCTTATGAAGACTGTTCATATATTTTTTTCTGAATATCTCCCGTGTACAAACAATGATACTAGAATGATTATTATTGTAATGATTACACGTGATATGAGCTATTGCATACATTATCCATGGCTGTGGCATGATGGCTTCTAGGGATGGAACACGGGTTAATCATCTGGTAGATGAAACTGTCACCTATAGACATGAGTGCGCACCCCTATTTTACTGCTCACCTCACAGGTCAATATAAACGCGAGGGCTCAGTCTTTAAGAAACGTAATTATATACAAACATCCATCAGAAATATAAATAAAACCAAATCTTGTCGCAAATTTATATAGACAAAGTATGGTTACGGTAGTAGTGTAATAACAGGGTATGTAAGGCATAATACCATAGTCCACGCTCAACCACTACAGTATCATGGGCGTCTCATTTAATTCTGTGATGTCCATGATGCTGCCCACGTCTATAGGCTACGATTACCGTTTGCCATCAGGTGGGCCGTCAGCTACCAGAGGGAGACTTTGTACAAAAGTCGATTGCTTGGGTACCTCTGTCCCATTCGTGTTTCAACCGTGAAGCAGTTGTGTTTGCATGGCTGTGTTTCGGTTTGAAGGGTGGGATATGGCGTGAATTTACTGGGTACAGAGGAATAACACCTGAGTCATCAAGAATGGCAACGCATGGGGGGTATCATGGACGAAACAGTATACTCTATTATGTCCATGGTATTGCTCATGTCTATAGGCGACGGTTACCACTTTCCATCAGGTGGACCGTCAGCTTGTTTGCCATTCTAAGTTGTATAAAAAAAAGCTTGTTTGCCATTTTAAGTTGCATAAAAAATATATTTGGGTGGAAACATTTTTCGCGCGTGTTTTGCACGTAATAACGTATGACGAGATGACTGTTAAGCAGGAGACATTACCTCCTAACATTAATTAAAGGTAGTTCGTTGAAGTAAGTTTCGTTGTTTGAAGGACCTCTAACAGTATGACATGGTTACTTGAACGATATAACATTACGAGTATGCACATAGTAAATGGGTCGCAAAAAGTGACGTGACGTTCGCGCAGATCTCTACAAACTAATACAAGCGGACTAATACAGTTTTGGTAGTAGGAGAAAAGTACTGTTAGCAATAGGGAATAACGGCTATATTGTTAGCAATATATCGAATCAGATCGACCTCCGCGTGGTACTCCCTGGGAACCGTGGTTAATATCCGGTGAATTCATCACGATGATAGCCTAATTTATAAAGGGTTATTTTAAATTCACAATCGGGACATAACACAAACTGACTACAGGTAAATATTACCTATATACATACATAGTTTTTATTGCCGAATGTGAAATTAAACTTATTAGGCTTACTTCGTCCACACCTATTGTCGCTCATTGGTGTCCCTTTGGCGACATCGATAAGGCAGGCAGGGTTACTATTCAATTTTGTTATCATTAAAGATTGCATTATTAGGAACACAATGTTTTTTAGCTTTAAAACTACGTCTTTATTGTTCACCTGTATACACGAACCCTGCCTATTGTCGCCCCTTGGAGTTGACTTATTATATTGGCAACCTTTGTTGATTTAATATTGTGTGTTACTTGTTGCAGGTGAGTCGCATGCTCGCTCGCCACAGTACGTAAGTGATCTTAGCATTACCTCACAATCACTACATCGCTCAAGGCTTCACTCGCATCGTACACATTTCCCGTCTCTCTTGCACGCCGCACGCCGC